TGATCGTGTCCGAAGTGCAGTTTGAAGAATCTGCGAGTGGTGTCGCCTCTGCTGTGGGCCAGTTCGTGTCCGGCGATGGACGTGTTGGCAAATCCTTGCCCGGTATTACAATCATCTTTTATCTCTGATTTCGCCGCAGTTGAATTTATAAGTACGGGTGGACTCTCTACGAAGTGGTTGTCCAACAATTTTATCCGTATAACGAATTTATTTATATATCTTTTATTTCGTAGGGTTCTCTTACCATGTTATATGGATTTTCTACTTCGAAATTCTCTCTACAATGAATTTTATCTGGTCCCTTGAATTTTTTAGAGAGTCCACCTGTGCAAGATTCATCACATGTATTTTGGTTAATGACCGGGTTCCTTTACGTAGAAGAATTTGAATTTTGAGAAAAACAAGGTTCGCGTGTTACTCAAGTAAATACGATAATTATCAGGTATGCAAGTCATTTCGTTTCCTTTTGACGAATTTAATCTGTCAGCATTTTGGTGAGGCGAATGATACGTGTTGAATTGAAGACGAGATAATTGGACTTTCATTGTACTGTACTGTTGTCTTTGTATTAAAGTTTTTTGTTTCGAGAATTATCTCATGATCAAATCCGAAGGAGGATTTCTTGTGGATAATTTTATGCTTCATTTTTTCTTTCGCAAGGCTTATACACTGGCATGAGCAAAGTTTCAAGGGAGCTGACGTTCAGAAACGCGAAGAGAAAAATTAGCCAGTTGTGTGCCAAACTGCAACTAAACCAGCATTGCCAAGACACGGCGTTCAACTTTTTCAAGATGGCGTTGCACAGAAGACTGACTGCCGGAAGGAAGAACGATCTCGTGGTTGCTGCCTGCATCTACATCACAGTGCCAAACTGCAACTAAACCAGCATTGCCAAGACACGGCGTTCAACTTTTTCAAGATGGCGTTGCACAGAAGACTGACTGCCGGAAGGAAGAACGATCTCGTGGTTGCTGCCTGCATCTACATCACGTGCAGGACCGAAGGAACTTCGCGTGAGTCAATTTTTGTCTTTTTTTTTTTAATGTCTCACGCGTGTTGTTTCTGTGGCTCAGATTTGCTGATCGATTTCTGTGATACTCTGAAAGTTGGCGTTTATGAGTTGGGACGGACGTTTTTGAAGCTTTCCTCGGAGCTCCACATCAACATACCGGCCATTGGTGAGTGATGTTTTGGAATGCAAAAGTTTTTTTTTTTTTCGGAAGTCTTGCGAATCACACAGAAAAAAAAAGACTCACTTGTCAGATGAGAAAAACGAAAAAATTCCTGTTCTTTCATACTGTTTTCAAGAAAATGTCATCCCTTTCTGTACCAGTAATTTTTGAAAACAGGTTTTCTGTCAGAACGGGTTCGTCCATTTATTGAACAAGTTTCGGCTTATTTTGGATGCATTCAGGTTACGTAGACAATTTTAATTTTTGCGATTTTTGCAAGTGAAATTCACCGCAGCGATTAAAATCTGTTTGCGTTATAATTTAGAGCCCCTTGGGCAGTTATCTTGGAACAAATGCAAAGCCGATTCGAATTATCCTCACCAAGGAAATTAAGCATGATAATCTTCAAAGTTCTTCCTCTTGTAAATTGATCTGCTTGAAAAATCCATGAGTCGTTAGATCAGTTAAATCTCATCTTAAACTGTTCGGAAAATTATCCACACGACAAATTTAATTTTGTTACTGTAGTTTTTTTATATTAGTTGGCTGGGAGGGGATGACTAATTTTCATCTGTCGAAGATTACAATTATGTGATCAACAGGAATTTGAGGAATAATTGAAATAATTTTGTCTTTTGTTGATGGTCAAAAATTTTCTAATTTCCGCAAAAGATCCCTGCTTGTACATCCTGAGATTTGCTCATAAACTGGAATTCGGTTCGAAAACCCACAAAGTTTCCATGACTGCGTTGCGGTTAGTGCAACGAATG